CTAATTGACTCCTTGGATGAAAGCTGTCCAAGAAAAACTCCAGAGTATTCCTCTAATTCAGTAGCTGGTGCTCTTCTCTTCTAAATGAATGTTGCTGAACCAATCTTTGATTTAATGAGGGGTGGGGTGGAATAGGGGGGCAGGAGAAATCTATAGTTCTTCCAATAAAAAATTTGTAAGCCAAATTTCAAAACTCAGTTAGTCTATGTTAGTGTACTGAACATTTGTATACACTAATTTAATTTGAATTCCAAAGTTTGGAGAATTTGAGGATGCACTTGTAAGTTTTCCAATTTTCTCAAGAATAGAAAAAGCTTTTCCTTTCCTTTCCTTTCCTTTCCTTTCCTTTCCTTTCCTTTCCTTTCCATTCCATTCCATTCCATTGATAGGACTTACAGAACCAAGATCACAAAGAAAAATCTAGGAATACCTGATTTCATTAATTAACTCTAATATCAATTGCAGGCTTTAGGCAAATTACTTAGGTCTGTATGTCTCTTCAATTATAGTCAACTCTAAGCAGCAAAATGTGAAAACACAGTTAAAGTTAAGGAAAAATATAAATATTTGATATAGTCCACCTAATTGGGAGAACCTCGCAACAGTTCATAAAGCTCTGTTGTATGGGATTTTACGCCCATGTGTTGCAATTTGGGAAACAACTAATCTCCTGTTTCACAAGAAAAAAACAATGACAAGACAATGATGTACAGAAATAAATCTTGTTATAATTCAAATAAGGAAAAAAATGACTGAGTCAGGCCTTTATAATAAGAGGGTACAGAACCTACCCAATGCTTTACAACCTATCCAGAGCTTGGTAAAGTAGAGTCCAGAATAGTTCAGAGTAATCCAGTCTGACTTTACATACATATAAACATATTATATACCCGCGAAAACCTCAGAAAACATATATAATATATTATATATATATATATAAAACTGGCAGTTAAAAGGAGGAAACAGCTACAACCACACATTGCTCCTAGAAGCACGAAGCCAAAAGCACCAGCCTGAAGATGACGAATGAAACTTCATCGAAACGTCGCCAAGACACTTCCAATTTTACGTTTTATATGTTTTCTGAGGTTTTCGCGGGTATTTGTATGTAGGTCTTTGGTTGTTCGGGTTTTCTCCCACGTAAAATTGGAAGTGTCTTGGCGACGTTTCGACGAAGTCCCATTCGTCATCTTCAGGCTGGTGTTTTCAGCTTCGTGCTTTGAGCGACCTCGAATTCCTACGCAACTGCCGAGATCAAAATCTAATCCCCACATGTTTCCAACTGAAATTCCACTCCAACTCTGCAGCCACCAAACGGATCCTGAAAAGAACAGATTTGGCCCTAATCAGAAATGAACTTCACACAAAAAGATTCCTCCTAGACCGAATTAACAAAGATCTCCTCACACTCCACCTCAAACTCAGCAACAAGATCCACCCCACACTTTGGGACAAATCCAAACAACTCGTCGTCTGGAGAGCCGAAACACAGACCACCCTCAAGACAGATACACACACCAACAAACTCCGAAGACTACAAGAACGCCAGAAACAAACCCCTCCTCCCTCACAGCCACACATGAAACAAACAGTGCATAACATCTCAGATAGGATCCTCACCAAAGCCGAAACCAATGTCCTTTCCAAAGATTCAACTTTGCAGTCGCTCCCAAACACATCCCCACTGAAACCATTATATGTGGAGTTGAAACCAGCCTGACCAAAATCAACCCCGACGACGCCAACAGAATCAGACTCGAAATCACCAACATCCTCTGCACCAGCAAGCCACCCAAAAGCAACTTACCCAAAGAGGATCAGACAGCACTACGTAACCTTAAAGAAGACACCAGCATAATAATCCTACCAGCAGACAAGGGCAACGCCACGGTGGTTATGAACACATCTGACTCCCAAACCAAATTAACCAACCTACTCCAAGACTCCACATACAAACCCCTAAATACAGATCCCACCACCTACCTGAAAAAACCACCAGAACCAAGATAAAAGCCTCCCCCATTAGCGAAGAGATCCAGCAAAGAATCATTCCCAGAGAGAAATCATCCAGATGCCCTAAACTCTATGGTCTCCCCAAGATACACAAAGAAGGAACCCCACTCAGACCTATAGTCAGCTCCATAGGCTCACCTCTACAAAACCTAGCCACATTTCTCGCCAAACAACTACAGCCCTATGCAGAATCCATCACCTCACACGTAAAAAACTCATTCCAGTTTATAGAGATCATAAAGAAACAAAGCTTACAGCCCAGCGACCTACTAGTGAGCTTCGATGTCATATCCCTCTTCACCCAAGTGCCTATCAAAGACGCCTTGACAGCTATTCAAAACAAATATAACCCCCCCAAACACATCTTAGATCTGACCAACCACTGCCTATCCAACACATACTTCATCTATAACGGACAAAAATACAAACAAACAGAAGGAGCACCCATGGGATCACCCCTCTCACCTGTCATTGCCAACCTCTCCATGGAACACTTTGAAACCCAAGCTCTAGAAAAATCGGATCACAAACCCAAACTCTGGCTCAGATACGTAAACGACACCTTCATAATCTGGCCACATGGGAAAGAAAAACTGGACAACTTCCTCACACACCTCAACAGCCTACACCCCAAAATACAGTTCATCATGGAAACAGAAGCTAACAACCAACTTCCCTTCCTGGATGTCTTAGTCTACAAGAAATCCAATGGCTCCCTAGGACACACCATCTACCAGAAGAAAACACACACAAACCGCTATCTGCACGCTCTCTCACACCACCACCCAGCACAGATCAACTCTGTAGCCAAGACACTCATCTCCAGAACAAAACGGTTAGCTGACGAACAACACCTAAAACCCGAACTACACACTCTCACCAATGTACTAACATCCAATGGATTCCATAGAAATAAGATTACAAACCTAATCCAAAAAGAAACCCCTACTAAAATCCAAGACAAAGAACAAGAAAACGGCAAAGCCATCCTCCCATACATAAAAGGCATCACAGACAGAATCAGTAAGATCCTCCATAAACACAACATCAAAACAGCATTCTGCACAAACAGAAAAAAAATATCCACCATCCTTAGAAACCCCAAAGATAAAATTGAATTAGAAAATCAAGGAGTATACGAAATCCCATGCACCACTTGTCCCACCACATACATCGGACAAACCAACAGAAGAATAAGTGCACGCATTGAAGAACATAAGAACTCAGTCAAAAAAGAGGAACCAACATCTTCCCTGGTCCAACACCTTAAAGCCACAGGACATGAAATTGACTTTAAAAATACCAGAACCATTGCCAAAAGTGAACATTTTAATAACAGAATAATCAGAGAAGCCATCGAGATAGAAAAACGCCCACACAGCATGAACAAGCGAGATGATACCTCCCGCCTACCAGCCATTTGGAAACCCGCCCTCATTGACAAACGACTCCCTAACACAAAAAATGATACCAGACCCACACTCACAAAAACCACACAGGATGTCACCACCAAACATCCACGCAAAAAACAAACCCAAAGCCACACTGACTATGAGGCACGACCACAAACCAGAAGCCAGACCACAGCTGCATCATTAGCCACTTTAAACCCCCCCAATCCATACATGAAGCAAACTGACACCCTCCATGAAGAGGAAGCACGACCACGAACGCGAAGCCAAGGAATGGCAGGGCAGCCCAAAATCTTGAATCCCTCTGCAACTCAGACTAACCTGAGCACAACCAAACAGAACACTCCCCCAGCCAATCAGAGCACAGCCAACCCCCCAGCCAATCAGAGCACAGCCAACCCCCCAGCCAATCAGAGCACAGCCAAGCCCCTAACCAATCAGAACACACCTCCACCCAATCAGAACACAGCCAAGCTCCCACCCAATCAGTTCATACCTCCACTGGCAGTTAAAAGGAAGAAACAGCCAAGACCACACACTGCTGCTCGAGGCACGAAGCTGAAAGCACCAGCCTGAAGATGACGAATGGGACTTCATCGAAACGTCGCCAAGACACTTCCAATTTTACGTGGGAGAAAACCCGAACAACCAAAGACCTACATACAAATACCCGCGAAAACCTCAGAAAACAAATATATATATATATATATATATATATATATATATATATATATATATATATATATATATATATACAAATTTCTTTTTCTGACAAAGAATTAAAGAATTAAATTGGGAGATTAAGATGGCCATTTCAAGCTCATTCTGCTCAAGGTGTAATCAATTAGACATCTGTCTGAAAAACTTCCTGCATATACTCCCTTGACTCAGCTGGCAAAGAGGGAGGAGAGCCTGTGGCTTGGTGGTTAAATCACTGCCTAGTATGTAAACTGCCCAGGTTTGAATCCCATAAAGGGTGTGGCTAACTGAAGAGAGCAGAATGAGCTCGAAATGGCCATCTTAGTCTCCCAATTTAATTCTTTAATTCTTTGTCAGAAAAAGAAATTTGGATTTGTAATGTTTCGCAGTTGCGACTTGAGCCTGCTTAACGCCCCTAGTTGGGGGCTGCAAGGCAAAAGAGATTGTAAAAAGTAAAACCGCAGTATAGCAGTTAAAAAATGTCAAGGTGTAATCAATTAGACATTTGTCTGAAAAACTTCCTGCATATATATATAGTAGTAATAACCCTTTAAATTTTCTTCACTCTGTGCTCTTCCACTGATTGTGTGTACAGAATGAGAAAGATTATCTTGATGGAGATGTTCAGGAAACTTGCCAAGGCAAAAAGGGCTAAAGACTTTTTAAGTCCAAAACAGCAAGATAGCAGATCAGGGACCAAGCAGAAATCTCCTGATTCACTGAAGAATAAGGAGGAAGAAAAAATACTGCAAAATCAGATGTGAAGCTGATGTCAGCTCTAGTAGCTGGATCACATCAGGAAATCATTTCTGCAGAAAGGCTAAAACTACATTATTGAGATTAACTGTAATAAAGAATTTTGCAAGTGTGCTGTACCTTTGCTTCTTTCTTAGTTCAGTGAATTAGGGCGGGATCTGATTGAGTCACTTGAAACAGGCTGGACAGTCATCTGTCAGAAATGCTCAGAGGACTTGGACTAGAATAGGTAATCACTGAGGTCGCTTCCAATTTCGTGATTCTGTGAAAAAAAAGGTAAAAAAAAGAAATAGCTGCACTAGAATGGCAAAAGAATGGAAAGCCAAACTTGATTAAAATGAGAAGTGTTAACTGCAGAAAAGAGGAAAGAAAAGAGAAAGAAATACCTTAATTTGTTTTGCAAAAAAGATTTAAATTTATCAGTGAAGGAGTCTCTTGCAAGCAAGAGCTAGTCTTTCAATCTATTTGCACTTCTTACTAATTCTTTTGTTTGAGATTTTTCTTCTATTTATGCCAGTAAATGTTAGATACACCCCACCATCGACACAAACACCAATCCACATGTAATTATTTGGGAGGAAAATCTTGTTTTCCTATCAGAATATGGAATGTTAAAAAGTATTCTATCTTCTGCCTTTCCCCTTTTTCCTGAAGTGAACATACCCAAATTAATACCTGGTTTTTCTCTTCCGTTCTTCTACATGTGTCTCTAACTTCAATATTCCTCTCAATCCTTCCCTCTGTTCTCAAGCATGTCATTAATGTTTAAGAAGTAACTGTTAAAACTGAAGCTGAGCTCCTTAACAACATGGTAGAGCAACAGCTCCACAATTAAATTGAAGATAAGGTATGTTTCAAAATCTGATCCTTCCTTGAATAAATGAGAAACCCCCTCCAATTGGGCCCTTGTGTGTTAGTAATTTTGAGACTCATAAGGTAGGGCTTCTCTGTGGGAGGCTGGGAAGAAAATCAAGATGGTGGTTAAAATGATCTCAGATGCTACCTTGATTTTTGTGACACCGCCTTCTGCACAGGTGAAATGATTGCAGAAGTCCTAGACAAAAGACAACTTCCTAGGACACTTATCTAGTATACTGACAGAGGGAAGAAAATCAAAAGCCAGTAGAGGAACATAGCCTCAGACCTCCTGCTGCTTACTTGGCTTTCTCTTTTTAACAGGCAGAAAGTTCATATACAAAGAAAGCAAAATGCAAGACTGGTTCTTGGCCCTTGGAAGCGGTGGAAATATACAAAATAATAATTTGTAAAATGTGTCAGAAGCCAGCTGTCAGGTTTCTTTTTATGTGCAGACTGATGTTAAATTTGCCCAACCCTTTTAAAACAAAGAAAGCTTTCTTTTTTCATTAATGTCAATGTGATTTTGAGAACAAAATGTACCCCAGAATTGCATTTCAGATTAAGTGAGACAAATGATTCTAAAGTTATTGTTGAGAGATGACTGCTAGAAAGTCGTAATTCCATTAGCTAGTTACAGCCAGGGAAAAAAAGTCTCTGTTCTGAGAGAGGTCTATTGCAATGGTAAATGCTTGTCTCATATGTGTCATCCTTGATCAGGGCTTTTTTTCTCATAGAATGCTCAGAACAGAGTTCCGGCACCTTTTTTGGATGGAACCTTGTAGGGTAGGCAAGGCGGGTTGTATAACGTGTGTGAGTTCCGGCACCTTTTTTTTTTTTCAAAAAAAGCACTGTCCTTGATTATTATTTACCTTTCCCCACTTTTGCAGCTGAAGTAGCACCATTAGTTCCATATAAGACAAAAAAGAATGTCAATACCAAAATATATATGGTGGCTATTTTGCACCATTTGTTATTGAAGGGAGGACTAACACAGACATGTCAAACACAAGGCCCAGGGGCCGGATGCGGCCCACGAAGTGGTTTCATGTGGCCCGCGAAGCCATCCTGGAAACAGTGAGGGAACGGCCCCCACTGCATTGGCCCTGGCCCAGGCCAGCCGGGAGCCAATGTACAATTTTGTGGTGGCCATCTATGCTGAAATGCATTCAGTCTTAGCTCCACAAGGCTGTCTGGAAACAGCGAGAAACCAGCCCCTGGGTGCATGCTGGGGAGGTGTCACCCTTTGTGAGGAATGAAGAAATGTACCATCGCTTGGAAGTGGCCAACAAATGGCCCTTGCCTACTTCACATATCCAGCTTGATGGGCTTTGGGCAGGGGTTTCGGCAGGCAGCAGGGCGCTCTCCTCACAGCGCCATGAGGCTGAGCTGGGTGGCGCGAAACTGATCAGAAGTGCAATGCTGCCTAGCCCCCAGCCTTCCCAGTTTCAGCAGCAGCAAGGTGCAAAGCTGGCGAGCTTTGCATCTCAAAGCTCAACCTCTCGGCACTGTGAAGAGAGTATCCCACTGCCTGCCGAGACCGGGCAGGCTGGGGGCTGGACAGCATTGTGCAGTAACATTGACTCTCATGCTGCTCATGGCATCCCTTTTCCCAGAGCCCACCAAGCCAGATATGTGAAATAGGTGAGGGCCATGTGCTGGCCACTTCCACGCGATGGTGCATTTCTTCATTCCTCACGAAGGGTGACACCTCCCCAGCTGCGTTTCTTGCCTGTTTTTCTCCCTCCTTCATCTCAAATATTTTGCCTCCACTCTGTACTTAGGAAAGAAGGAAGAAAAGAAGGAAAGAAGGAGAGGAAGGGCCTGAAGGAAGTCCTGCCTTAGTCCTGCCCTGCTGTCCTTTCACCATCCCCTTGCCCCCTCCTCCAGGCCCATCCTGGGGGTCTCCCTATTGCTAAGGACGCTTTGGATACAAAGCTGGGTCTCCTCCCATGGAGAGGGAATGGGCCTCCCTCTGACTTTGCCCTCATACTCATCATGAGCAACCTGGCTAAGGAGAGCAAGCACAACAGCAGCAGCCTTGAGGAGAAGGTAAGTGCAGCTGGTTGTCCCCTTGGGGAAGTAGGGCTAGGCTTGGTGCCCAGTTTGTAGCAGTTGACCATTCTTGGTGCAGATAGGTACTACATTCATGTCACAGCATATTCTGAAATATCTTTTTGGAATAAGATCTCAAGTACTATATAGCTCTTGTTTTTAAATTCATTTTATTCTAGATTATGAAACATAACTCTCTGTCATTCAGAAGGCCCAATGAATTGCAAACACACAATATATTTACAGAAAACCACTCACATTAAGAAGGTTCAATGCCTTAGATTTGATGGTGAATTTCCAACCTATGTCTTACTTCATTGCTCCTCTTATGGTGCTTGATATGCAGAAGTCTCATCCTCTTTCTTAACTCATGTAATTTGATTTTTTTACTTGCTGATTCTTTATCTGAAATCTCCAAGAATGTAGAAAAGTTCTACTTGATCACAATTTTACACGGTTTTGGCCTCACTTTTATATTGATTGCATGTTGACTGATTTTTTTGTTGAGGTATTAGAATATTAGTTTTAATTTCTTCCCATAAATTATTTATTTTCTGCGTTCATAATTTGGGATCTCTGGCCATAAATTAATAAAAAATTTTACATTCAGAAAGACCACAGGCAAAAAGTGACAATATCAATTGTTGTTGCTGCTGCTGTTGATGCTGGTGTTGATGAGATCAATAAGGATAACTATCATAAACTCAGAAACGCTCCCTGGTATAAAAATTTTGTTATGAAGGAATTTGTACTGAGAATTGTTTCTTGTAAGCAGGAGTGTAATTTGGGAGAACAAAGGCATTTTAAACTAGGTCTCTTGCCAGGCAAACTTAAGAAACAGCATTTTCTTCCAAACAAACAAAGCATACTTCATGTCAACTATCAAACACAGATTTTATGCAGCCTTTGATAAACAGAACTTTTCCCCAGTGAGGCAACTTACTGAAAACAGGTGACTTGTAATGCAGGGGCATTGTATTTGTTTGTATGTATTGTCAGGATGGAGCCACACATGACACATTTTAAAATTTCTTCAATGCAGAAATCTCAGTTCCTGGATTTTCATTTTTAAGAAGACCATTAAAATGGACCTCTGTGCTGTCCTTGTTAGACAACTTATCTATGCATTCCTTGAGCATAGTCCATGTAACCTCCTTCCAAAGGGTCACCGTGTCTAAAAAAACCCAAAAAACCAAAGGCCAAATGTGATTTAGGAAAAGGTCAAAATGTTACAAGGTTGACAAATTTTGCAGCAATTTGCCATTTTCACCTAAAATCTTGCAAGACTTTGTGGCGAGCTGCTAATGTGTGTATATGGGGAAGGGGTATGCCTGAGTCCTCAGTCAAAATCTTTTAATGGCACCTGGTCTTGAAAAAACTGCCAACTGCAACAGTCTTCTGTGCTGTGTCCAAGGCTCTGAACCACGAATGAAAGACTTTCAGAATTATGGTCCCAGCCATTACTTTTCCATTGCATAGGAGTCATTTTGTGAAACGTTGGCAGGCTTCACATTTTTAAAGAAAATCGCATTGGAAGTCATTTTAGCAGAGGGAAAATTTCAAGAATGAATGCTAGGTATGAAATAAATAAACAAGCCACAAAAGAGTTTATTAATCTCATGAGTAACTTGAAAGATTTGAAACCAGCTGCATTTACACCTATGAGTGGTATTAGGCGCCCTACAATCCTTCTCAGAGTTAGTGTTGAATTAGAAGGATAATGCTCCTGATATGGTTAGATTGTCTGTCGGCATTTACCCAGCCCTACCAAGTGACTTTTGGTTAAAGAGGTCATGTGCTCAGATTAACCTTCTATTAATATAGGTGATTAAAAATATTATGATCATAATATTGTGAATGTTTTCACATGAAGGCAAGCAGGCTTCATTCATTTCTTTGGTGCTAAGGTAACCTGCATCCTTGCTTGTTAAACTGCTTTTGAAAACCACTTTGAAAACAAAGAACAATAGGTGCCGCTGTAATCTTTCAAACCACTAAAATGTCTTAAAAATGGAAAAGCAGAAAATACAGAAAATCTTCCACAGGGAAGAAGCAGTCAAAAAGTTAAGATGGCATCCACAACAGTTCCATCAAAGACCCATCCTTTCCATATGAGCATTGCAACTTGGCTGTTTTGCTGTGTCCTGCCCACCCTTGAGATTTTCCCAGGTGCCAGCTAGCATAATAATAATAATAATAATAATAATAATAATAATAATAATAATAATGACGACGACAGCGGCGGCAGAGGAGGAGGAGAAGGAGGAGGAGGAGAAGAAGAAGAAGAAGAAGAAGAAGAAGAAGAAGAAGAAGAAGAAGAAGAAGAAGAAGAAGAAGAAGAAGAAGAAGAAT